CCCTGGGATTAAGAATCCAAGAAATAAACCTTTGACCTGGATACCACAAACTTCCCTCCTTGGAATTTCAAGAGCCAAGGACTTAGAATGGGTCATGTTCCTTCTTTAGAGGAGCTCTTCTACTGCCAAATTTCCTGGGTCCCCTCTAGCTCCAGAATTCCCAAGGGCCACAGCCTTAGGCTGTGAATCCCACAGTCCACAATGTGGATGATGCCTCCAGCACTGTGCGACATGGTGGCTCTGAGAAGGCCCTTCCCAGTCTCATACTCAGGGCTGAGCTGAGGGCTACATGATTCCAAAGCCTGACTGGGGTTCAGGCTCTCCTACCAACCAGCGGTGTAACCTTGGGCAAGTCACTTACCTCCTCTGAGTCTTGGTTTTCTTATTTGTAAAATAAAAGGAGGAGACAATAAAACATACCGTAAGAGGTGTCATAAGAAATGAGGCATATGTTGAATGCATGATATTTTATCAGCAGTTCACAAACTCACTATGCCTCAGTTTCCTCATCTGTAGAGTGATGAGACAGTCTTTTGGGTGTTTTGTGAGAATTAACAAGTTAACACATGGGAAGTGCTTAGAATACTATGTGCCATATAGTAAATACTGTATATAAAGTGAAGTGCTAAAATATAATTATTAGCACTTTGCTGCCCCAACTTTATCATCTATCTACCTACCTATCTACAAAACTCTAAACTTTATTTGTATTTATTATTTTTTTCACTAACCTCCTCCTGTTCCATGATCCCATCTATGGTACCACACGACTCCTTGTCTCCAGTTGCCATGTCTCCTTAGTTTTCTCTGGTCTGTGACAGTTTCTAGCTCTTTTTGATTTTCATGACCTTGACAGTTTTGAGAAGTACTGGTCAGATATTTTGTAGAATGTCCTCAATTTGGGTTGGTCTGATGTTTTTCTCACAGTTAGACTGGGGTTATAGGTTTTGGGGACCAATACTACCAGAGGTAAGGTGCCCTTCTCATCACATTTCCAATTTTATTTATTTTATTTTATTATTATTATTTTTTAATCCTCACCTGAGGATATGTTTTACTGATTTTAGAGAGAAGGAAAGGGAGAGAGAGAGAGAGGCATCGATGTGAGAGAGAAACATCAACTGGTTGTCTGGGAGTGTACTCCCAGACCAGGGATAGAACCTGCAACCTAGGTATGTGCCCTGACCAGGAACTGAACCAGCAACCTTTTGGTGTACGGGACGACACTCCAACCAACTGAGCCACACCGACCAGAGGTCCAATTTTACTTTTAATGGCAATTAATTCTTTGGGTCCTTTTAGGATTCTCCTTTGGAGTGGAGGGAAGGGAAGTCTGGGAAGCTGAAAGCAACATTCAGCCAACTTAAGCTAAGACTTGCCCAGGTCAGGGCACTTGGACCATGACTTTGGGCAGAAGAGGTGGACAGACTGGTCAGAGGTGGGCAGAATAGAACTTATAATTCATCATGAACTAAAGCCCAAGAGAAGGCAAGAAGGGAGGTCCTGGCCCAGGCTTAGGAGGCCCATGGGGCAGGAGGTAGATAGAGGAGAAACTGGAAAGGGGCTGAAGGAAAGCTTTTCCTTGCAGCTGGACTGCCTGAGGGACCCCATCAGCAGGAACCCCAAAAGAGTACAACCCCAATAGCACTGCCATCGCAAGCCAGAGGTGTGGAAGTACTTGGGGATATGCAGGTTTATGTCACCCGTTGCGTGGGCCAACACAGCTGAGTCTGGGGACCTGGGAAGCCCATCTGGAGCCTACCTCAGTGTCTGGTCAGAGGAGCAGCTCCCAACCCTGGGAGGATGCCTCTGGGAAACAGGCAGGATCAAGCAGCCTGTGACGGTGTCTGTGTGTGTTCTTTCCTAAGGTGTGAGTGTCACAGGTGGTGAACAAGTTGCACCTCTTTGCCTCACCTCTCATCGGCTTTTGCCAAAATTCTGAACCTGCTCTGGGGCACAGGTGCACTGGTGGTAGAAACTGGAGTGTAGGAGTAGGTTCTCTGCTTGATCTACACACCTGGGTCTACCACCCCTCCACTCTTTGGGCTCTGAGCCTATCTTCCCTGTCTCCTCCTTCCTTCTTCCCCTTCTACTCATGCCAGGCAGCCCTCGGGAGTATCATAAGACAATTCTCTAAAGGCTCTGATGTGCCCCAGAATGCCTGGGCCAGGTGGGGACGGTGGGGGTGACCAGAAGACTGGACTTTGGTCGGGGAGCAACTCTAGACAAATCACTTCCCCAACTCTAGGTTTCAGCCCTCTCAACTGTAAAATGAGGGGTCAGATTCAATTATTTGCTTTACTGCCCTTTAAAAAGCTATATCAGTTTCATTAAATATTAATTTATAATCTATAGACTATACATAATCTATAATCAATAATCTATTAAATTATTAAAAATCTAACATAAAAATTGCCTATGATCCATCCTGAAATGATGTTAATATTTATGTTGGTTCCTGACACTTTCTAGTCCTTGCCCAGGTACATATTCTATTTTAATGTATTTACAGTAATAGCTTAAGTAGGAATTTATATTTAACATTTTCAGTTAACATTAAGCCAAACACTTCTTCTTTTTCCTTTTTTTTACCTACACTCCCTTTTCCCCCCATTCTAGTCTTGATGAGGTAACCAGTGTTAATAGCTTAGTTACATGTGCACTCATATATGACTATAGTACAATGTATAGAATTTGCCCTTTGGGGAGAAGGGTTAATATTCATTTTATAAAACTACATTTCTCTGCAACTTGCTTTTCTACGTTAGCCATATATTGTGGAAATCAAACTAGGCCAAGAGATAGAGCACATAATTCCACAGGCGCACAGTAGTCCCATGTAGAGACACAGCACATAATTCCATGGTAGGGATGAAGCTGCTCAGCCATTCCTTGACTCATTGGGACTCAGGTTATTTCCAGTGGTTCTGTTTTCCACCCAGTAAAAACAAAGCTGCCATAACGTTTTGTACAAATGCCTTTATAAAAGGGTACTTGCGTCTCTAGGGTATAAAATTCCAGAGGTGGGATTGCGGGGTCAGAAGATCTGTGTTCTTTTTCATTTCCAAAAACAGCTGTAAAAAATCACATCTATGCAGAAAATGGATGAGGGCTTCTCTTGCCCCACATCTTCACCAGCACTTGTATTTATTAGTCTTTTAATGTTTGTCAGTCTGGTGGATGGGAAATAAGCATCTCAGTGTTGCTTTCATTTGCATTTGCCTGTTTACTGTAAGGTGGAACATCTTTCCATATACTTATTGGTTCTTTGGATTGCCCTTTGTGTCAACCGGAATTCATATCCTTTATCCATATTTTTTACTGGGTTTGTCCTTGCACTATGAATTTGTGGGAGTTCAAAGTAGGATATGAACGTGCCTTCTGTCATATGTGTTGCAAATATATTTTCCCATTCTGTCATTTGTCTTTTGATTTAATAGGATATCTTTTTTCATACTAGATGTCTTTCTTTTGTGTAGTCAGATACACAAAAGAAAGACATCTTTTACTTACTGACTTTTCAGTTTTCTGTTTTAAGTCTCCTTAACACATAGGCTATATTCCTAAGTTCCCTTCTTTATTTCCTCTTGTTTTATTGTTTTCGTTTAAACATGCAACCTCTCTGGAATTTATTTTCGTCAAATAAAGGTAGGCTTCAAATGTAATTTTCTTCCATGAGGATAGCCAAATTCAGCAGCTTCCAGTAAAGATTGGGTTTGGGCAAAGTATTTTGAAGCTAAAGAAGTTTAAAAACCCCTTTCAGGTGATCTTTGGGAGCCCTCCCAGATCTGACATTCTCTGAACAATGCCCAGTTCAGCGGCTACTTGCTAAGAGAGAAGGCAATGGACAGCATTAGTTATGAAAAAGTAATTTCAATGTTAGATCCCAAGTTGGCTGAAAGTGGATATTAGAATCACAGCATTTTAGAGGTGGAAGGGACCTTGGAAATTATCTGGCCTAATTGCTTTCAATTCTGGCTACCTTGAGAGTTACCTGGAGCTTATAAAAAATCCTGGTGCCCCCGAGCCAGGCCAGACAACATGAAGCAGTCCTTGGGGGTAGGCAGGGGTTGATTTTTAAATCTGGTGATTCTAATAAGCAGCTAGTGTTGAGAACCACTTCTCCAGCTCAACTCCCTCGTTTCACCAGTGAATAAATTGAGACCCAGAAGAGGTAAACTACGTATCACCCAGCTGGCTAGCTGGCACTGGAATCCAGGTCTCTGCTTCCTGGATTGGCTTTTTCATCTGGGTCAAACAAATCCATGAAGCCCCATTCTTTGGATTTTCAGCTAGCAACACTAAAGTCTCTGTGTGAATGCTTTGTACCTTTGCATATGATCAGCTTTAAAATGTTTGCTGTGTGCAATTCTGTGCATCGCAGGTGGATAGACCTAGTTCTGCCCTGCCAGGCCTTAGTGGGGAACAGGGTTAGAGAGAACTATGGTAATGATAAAAGACAGAGGGAATTAATGGCTCATACAAGTAGAGGAGCCTACTGAGGGCTTGGGGGTGCAGAAGTAGGAAGAGTTCTGTTGAAAGGAAGTCAGGAGGGCTGCATACAGGGGGTAGTGTTTGAACTGGGCCTAATGGGTGATTGAAGAGGCCTTGATGATAGAATCCATGCTGCACTTCCTTTCCTGGAGCTGTGCTGGTGACTTCCATGACACAGGGGCAAGGTTTCAGGACAGAAAGGCCTTGGTGTCAGAGAGCCGAGCTGAGCCCAGCCTGTCTCCGCCGGGCTGTGACCTTCTCCCTCTCTCTGCCTCAGGAAGGAGGCCTCTGACCTTCTCCCTCTCTCTGCCTCAGGAAGGAGGCCTCTGACCTTCTCCCTCTCTCTGCCTCAGGAAGGAGGCCTCTGACCTTCTCCCTCTCTCTGCCTCAGGAAGGAGGCCTCTGACCTTCTCCCTCTCTCTGCCTCACGAAGGAGGCCTCTGACCTTCTCCCTCTCTCTGCCTCAGGAAGGAGGCCTCTGACCTTCTCCCTCTTTCTTCCCTCAGGAATGAGACCGTGCTGCACCAGTTCTGCTGCCCAGCTGCTGATGCCGAGCAGAAGCCCTCCTGCGCCGACCTGGCCTCCCAAAGGTGAAGTAATTGGTGGATGGTCCTCCCCGCCCACCCCACCATCCTTCCCCTCGGAGCAAAGCATACACCACTGTACCCTTTGGCCTCTTACTCTTGAGTGTTGTGCTTTTGCTTGTTGGTTTTTACATCCTTCCTCATACTTCCATCTCTCTTTGCTTTCTCTGGACCCCAGATGAGCCATTCCCAACTTTTGAGGTCATTATGCCCCTTTGTTCAAATCCCAGTCCTATACTCCTACCCTCTAAATGGCTTATATAAAGTACATTTTTAAACGTCAGAGGAAATTACTGTGACTATATATACAGAACACAGTAGGTGTCTGGCACTCAGTAGTTGCTCAACCAATGAGAATGCCCATCTTCCCTCTTATATCAAATATTTACATTTTTCTTCCTAATCTTTCTCCTTCTGTAAAGGAGCGAGGATGACTGACTTTAATTGCAGGGATTTTTCAACCTTCGTTGAGTTAGCTGACACCCCGGGAGGAAGGGGAGTATTGAAAAGCCAGGTTTGGTGTCCCTGTGCCAGGCCTTCTCTTTCGTCTGTTTCCGGCTATCCATCCGCCCTCTCTCTTCCTGCCTCCTTCCCCTGTGCTCTCTCCATCACGCTTTCGTCTTTCCCCTCCCACATTCGCCTATCTGGCTGCCCTTCTGCTCCTCCAGTCCCCTCCTCCCCGCCCACATCAGTTTCCGCTCACTTTCATCTTGATCTGTGTGTGCTGTCAGTCTCTGTCCCTTATTACAGTTTGTTTACTTTTTTCCACCAATTTTTCTGTCTCACAGTTCTGCACATTTCTCTTGTTCTTTACTTCCTCTGGAGTCACTGTCCTTCGATTCTGGACAAAAATTTGCCCCATCTACAGTCTCCTGTTGTCAGAATGAATTTGGACAAGTTACTTAACTCCCTCAGCCTCAGTTTCCTCATCTGTATAACGAAGGGGTTGGTCTGTTTAGAAAATAACATTTACATGTAACTTCACTGAGCCTCTCACCTGCTTAGGAAAATAAGACCAGGCAGGTTTTATAATCCCTGTCTTATGTGAGAGGTGAGTGAGTTCAGAGCACTCAAGGGACTTGCCCACAGTCACACAGCCAGTAAGCACCAGGGCCCAGATGCACACTTAGGGCAGTTGACTCCCTGCTCGCCACTTCCAAGTTTAAGATTTAACAATTCCGCGATCTTTCCCTTTCTTCTTTGAAAAATAACTAGATAATAATCAGACATGGTGGCTATCAGAGATGACAGCTATCGAGCTTAAGGACAGAAACGACCCCCTGAAGGGCATTATACTCATTTCCCATACAGGGAAGTCAGAGGTGGTTGGGCACGAGGCAGGACTCTGAGGAGGGAACTATGGCAGTCGGGCCACAATGACACCTCCAGGTCCTTCAATCCAGGGTGGTGGAAGGCATGGTTGTTCTCTGCAGCCGACCACGTTGGAGGATAGAAGGCAAAGGGAAGGACCAGGCTCTGTGTCACGCCGTGGGTGGTCTCTGTGCCAAGTTCTGTGCTGGGACACAGGACAAGTAAGGCCACTAGGATCCTTGAGGAGCTCCCCATCTAGTGGGGTGTCGTTACGCTTCCAAATGGAAAATGGCTCACCTGGAAGCTGCAAGGAAGGAGAGAAATGTGAGAATGAGAAAGTGGGGGAGAAAGGAGAGAGGACAGAGAGTAGAGTGGCGCAAGGGTGGTCTGGGAAGAAAGAGGCAGGGGACCCTGGCTCCTCCCACGAGCTGTCCCTGTTCAGACAGGTGGCTGGGTCTTCCTCCTAAAAATGTCTTCCCTGGCAGGGGAGGAGATGCAAGGGAAGCTGTCCAGTCTGCCTCCTACCCCATCAATCCAGCTCAATTCAGTGGGCACTTAATTGCTGCTACCCGAGCACCAGGCATTGGTGAGGATGGCGAGCATCATACCCTCACAGAGTCAGTCCTGGGGGCCCCAGCAGCAAAGATCTTCCCTTGGGGTTTCCTTGGTCCTTCCTCTCTCTCACACGCACCCCTCCCACTGTTTCACGTGCTAACACTCCTCTGCCTGGCTGGATACCCCCCTCCCCGGCCTGCAGTCTGTCTCCTGGTGGGAAGGGGTGGGAGAGAGGCTGGTATATTTGGGGGCAGGAAGGGGTGCTGCCCCTCATGGGGCCTGGGCTCCAAGGGAATAGGGTTATTTTCCAAGATTCGGGGTGTGATGGTAGGAAACCTATTGTCTCAGTTTCCCCTTGAAGGGCAACTGAGGTGGGGGCAGAGGTGCTCTAAGGAGGGAGGGTGGAAGGTGGATGGTTTTCTTGACCATTGGTTCATGGAGGGGCTGTAAGTGCTGCTACTGCAGTCCTCCCCTCTAAGTGGGGCAGGAAGACTTGCACCCACATTGGTCCCGCTGTTGTCTGTGTCTGTTCCCAGTTATTCGAAGTTGTCCTGTCTGGTTTGTAGTTTCCTAGAGTGTGTTAATGTCTGCCCATCTGTCGGTCTGTCTGTCTGATGACAGTTTCTCAGCTTCTCTAGGAAGAGGCTATCTAGATGTTTTCTGACAGTGGATGTGTTAGTCAGTCTGTCTATTCCTGGGTTCTTGGGGGGATTCCATCCTGAGATAAATATTCTCCCATCAGACTCCCAACATCCTTGCTCTCAAACCTATCCATGACTCCTTCACAGACCTTAATCCCTTCCCTTTAGCCAGGTTCCCACCTTCAGTGGAGCTCAAACCTCCCCATGAGTTTCTCTAGGAGAAAGTAGAGGTCAGAGACTAGGCTGAGGGCCAGCTCAGAGTAGGTGGGTCACAGAGGCCTCCAAGACAAGCCAGGCTCCTCCTCACTGGTCAGTCTGATTTCCCACCAGCTCAGCAAGCCTCCAGCCAAATCAGCCTCCTCTGAGCATTTCTAGGAATAAGCCAGTTGATCTCTACAAGAGTCACCAATTTAAGGAATCCAAACCAATCATCAGATCTCAGGGTCATTGGGGCCTTTCTTGTGTGATCTCAGAGCTGGCCACAGAGGCCCCCTCACCTTCTTCCTCTGTACCCTGAAGCCAGTAGTAACCAAAGTCAGCACAAGTTTGAAGGGTCTGTTCCCTCCTTGCCTCCACCCTAAGCTGTGGGACTAAGTAAGAATCCTTTTCCTTGAGCCCCTGGGCTCAGACCCTGGGGGCTGCAGTGACAGCTGATCACCCGCAGCCCCCAGATCAGAGGGGTGGGGAGGAGCTGCTGCTGCGGCCTGAGGCAAACCCTCAGACCTGGGGAGAGCTCCAGGGACCAGGAAAGATCCTCACCCCCTCCCAAAGAGCGGGAAGCTCCAGCCCTGTTAGTGTGTGCTAGCATGGGGGTGCCCAGCCACTTGTAGAGCAGCCTTTAGGGGGCTGGGGTCAGGAGAAAGCTATCTTGGGATCTGGAGCATGCCAGGAAGTGATGCCCTCAGAAGTGGGAAGACCTAAAGTTAATCAAGTCTGGAAGCTGTGTGTGTGTGAGAGGGGAGGCTGAGTGGTAGGCACCGGGGACTGGCATACGATGGAACAGTTATGGGGTGGCGTAGAGTTTTCATGAGCTCCATTGTGCTTAGGTTCACACACCCCTAAGCAAACAGCTATGCTTTCCAGGGCAATAGGCCCTCAGGTGAGAACTGGGAGAGTGGGCCCAGAGCCAGCCAGGGGACAAGTCGTGCCAGGTCTTTCATCCCCCTTCCTACCTCCCTTCACTGCTGGCTGATGGCAGGACTTTATTCTGGGGAATTGAATAGGCTAGTAATTGCAGCCCTACTTTCTATCCCAGGGCTCCCCTCCCTCTCAGGCTCTCGGTGACATTCAGAACAATGTCCCTGGAGCTGGCCAGCTGCCTCCCAGCATCTAGCCCATTTGTCTCCGTGGGTGGCAGTGGGGCAAGATGAGGAAGATTGGCTTTTATTAGGGTAATGACAGGAAGCTGGGGGGAAGGGGAGGTCAGAAAGAGGAGGTGCTAGGGGAGGAAACAGAACACCCCCAGCCCTGAGAAGGAGGGTTGTGGGGGGAGGGGGAGGGGCACTCTGGGCCCCAGCAGCCTGAACTCACTCACCCCCAGTGTTTGGTCCTTCCTCCTCAGGCACCCTGCCCTGCTCCAGCATGGAAGAGATGCTGATATTTATTGAACACAATATTTATTGAACATACCAGGGATGTTGCACTAGGCACTCTCAATATTTTATCTCACTTAATTCTGTGAGATAGCTGCTACTCCCATTTACAAATAAGGAATCTGGGATGGAGAGAAGTTCTGTGTATGGATAGAGGGGCTACTGAGAATCAGCCTGGAGCTGAAAGGTGAGCCCAGGTCTAACTCCAAAAGGCAACCTCTTTCCACGGAGCTGCTGCTAGGACTTTTTTTATTTAATAGCATAGGAGAAATTCTTTGAGACATTTCATTTAACCTGAAATAACATTTATTTTCTCTGATTATAAGTTACACTTGCTAGTTGTTGGAAAATACAGCAATATAAAGAAAATAAAAATTGAATCCAGTCAAGCAGAATTAACCACTCTTAATATATTAGTGTGCAACCTTCTGGGGTTTTATTTTTCTGTGCACTGGGTTTAACATTTCCCCCCCATTTAAAAAAAAAAAAAAAAAAAAAGGATTTTGTGGCCTGCATTTCCCACTGCATGCATTGAGAGAGCCTCCGGCCCTAACCAGAACCTCCTGGCGCCTCCACCCCTCTTGTCTGTCAGCTGCTAACCAGCCTGCAGAATGTGTGTGGCAGAGGCTGCAGGGTCCTCAGGAAGGGGCACCCTTCCAAGACTGGCTGTCAGGGAGAGCCCTGTGTTAGCACCGTCCTGCGCATCAGGCAGACTTCCACCTCTTCCCAGCGGCCTGAGGCATGATCAATGGACTAGCCAGTGTTTACTCAGCCATTATGGAGCAATTAAATTCTCAGTCAATATAGTTTAGTCTTCAGACCGCTGGGCTTGGGAGTTTTGGTGTCAGTGTCTACTCCATTTGTCACATCTGAGGCTCAGAGGCTGCTGGGAAACCTGCCCCACTCA